ATGAGTAAAACAAGTATGGACCGAGCACCTCCTAGGTGTCAGGCAGCAAGCTAGGCAATCCCCATGCTCACCTGCACTTTAATTCTTTGGAATAGGCATGATTATCCCCATTGTTTTGTTTTTTGTTTTTTGTTTTTTTTTTTCAGATAAGGAAACCAAGGCTAAAAGAGATTAATGACTTTGCCAAGGTCATACAACTAATAAGAGATTTCAGCAGGCACTTTAACCCTGGGCTGACTTCACTCCAAAGCCTATGATATATATTTTTTCTCTGTATGATGCTGTCTCTCCCCAACTCCATAAAGGTCCAGGAGTTATGTAAGGGGGGAGTCAGACCGTGGGACTTCTAAGCCTCACATCACATGAGCCAATTCCTTACATTAAATCTCACTACATGTAGACACACACACACACACACACACACACACACACACACTCTGTCTCTCTGAAGAACCCTGACTAATACAATCCAAATGGAAGAATTTCTATACTAAAGCCAAAGCAAAGGGAGGGAGGGACCCATGGAAAGAGTCAGAAAACATTGTTTCAGAGGGTCAAACAGATTTCTTAACCTGATAAAGTGTTCTTAGGGGGGGACCTCTTTAAAAGAGAAAATCTTACAAAGAGGTGCTTTGACCAGGGTATCCCTGGCCTCAGAGAATGGGCGCTCCTCAGCACCCAACACAAAATTTTCCTAAAATGGACCTGGCCAAAGAACGGTGTCCACCCAAAACACAGTGCTGAGTCATTCCTCCTCCCTGTACTGAGTACTTATTAACACTCCCGAAGGCCGTTCAGTGGCCCCTCATTCCACTTTATTCCAGAATAAAACCCAGATTCCTTGGAAAAGCTTACAAGGCGTCAGTGATTCGGTGCCCACCTACCTTCTCTGGCCTTATCTCCTATTTGCCTTCATGCTTCCTATATGTCGGTCCCAAGGCTACTTACCACGTTGCCCAAGTGTGCCCTGTACATCCGCCTAGGCCGTGACTTCAACCTGAATGTTCTCCCCCTTGCCAACATCTCTGTCCACCCGAAACCCACATCTTCACAGGTCAAGGACTATTCCTTGAGCTTTATGTTAAATTCATTCTTATCGCTGTGCATCCCTTTTTCACACTAGACTATAAGCTCTTAGTAGACAGAAGCATTCTCATTTTTCTCTATATCCCCAACTATATACATTTATTTGTTTAATAAATGTATGTTGAATGGTATGCCTGCTATGTAAAAGGCAATGTGCTAGGTGCTGGGAATGTAAAATGCGTAAGACAAATGAATAAGCCTTCAGCCCTGATTGGTGTGGCTCAGTGGACTGAACGCCAGTCAGTGAACCAACAGGTCACCAGTTCAATTCTTTGTCAGGGCACATTTCTGGGTTGCTGGCCAGATCCCTGATTGGGGGCAGCAACCAAATAAAAATAAATACATAAGCCTTCAAAAACTTAACATTCAGTGACTGAGACAAACAGCATTCCCCTTGATAATTAAAATGCAAGATAGAATGTACGCTGCCACAAAAGTGGTAGAAAAATCACCAGCATTCAGAAGAGAGGCCCTCGGCTGGAGATGTCAGCGAAGGCTTCTTGGAAGAGGTAGCAGCTGAGCTCAGCCTAGAAAAGGATTTCAACTGGGGAAGATCTGGTGATGAGAAAGTAGAGAACACAGCGTGAGCAAACAGGTGGAGGCAGGAAATTGTGTCAAGATGTGTCTGGTAAACCTTTAGCCTTAGATGCCAGGATAAGAAGATTTGGGGGTTTTGTTTTTTGGTGGTCAGTGGAAGTCACTGACGTTTTTGAAGAATGGAGAGGGAGAGGGTGAAAGCAAGGTGGTTGAGAGGTCGTGGGAAAGGGGGTCACCTGGTTTTTAATAATACATGACAAGAAGTTCAGAGCATATACAGCTCCAACCACATGGACATAGAATATACACTGCTCTGACACATCAACCTGGCCCCACACCCCCTCCGAACACTCACTGACAGCCTGACGTTTTCACCTTCTTCATGGTTGCAAAGCTGATGGCTTTTCTGAGTCCCAGGGCCCAGGATACAGATGGCCTCATTGGTGCCCTTCCCCTGGCCAGCAGGGCCTGCCGTGTACGTGCTAAAGCAGAAGTTCTCTCTCTGGCAAGACAACAGGCGCCTCCCCTGGGTCCTGGAGGAGGTACTGTCATCCCCCAACGCCATCCATCCCTCACACAGTGGGAGTGGAAGCCAGGGACTCCGCCCAACTCCCCAGATTCTCCTGGTGCCTTCCCCACCTCCACCCCAACTCCCCACCCCCCTCCTTTTCCTCCTGCAGCCTGGGCTTACCCTCAGGTACCAGATGCTGCCTCTGTTTCCCTTTTTGTCCAGAGTTCATTCCTCACATGACATTACAGGGTGTCCAAATTTTTGGCATCTCTGGGCCACACTGGAAGAAGAAGAGTTGTCTTGGGCCACACATTCAATACACAAACACTAATGAGAACTGATGAGGAGAAAACAAGGTTTTAAGTAAATTTATGATTTTGTGTTGGGCCACATTCATAGCCATCCTGGGCTGCATGTGACCTGCGGGCAGAGGGTTGGATACCCCCTCTGAAATTCTAGATTCTCTTTGCTATAGACAGAATGTTTGTACACCCCAAATTCATATGTTCAAACCTAATCCCCAATATGATGGTTTTCGAGGTGAGGCCATTAGGGAGTGATCAGGTCATGAGTGTGGGACTTCCTTATAAAGGAGACCCCAGAGAGATTCCTCACCTCTCCTGCCATGTGAAGACACGGTGAAAAGATCACTATCTATGAACTTGGAAGTGGGCCCTCACCAGACACCTGCTTGCACCTTGGTCTTAGTCTCTTCCCAGCCTTTGGAACCGTGAGGAATAAGTTTCTGTTCTCTATAAGCTATCCAGTCTGCGGCACTTTGTTATAGCCATGCATATGGACTGGGATATTCTTCTAGCCACTTCCTACCCTAGGAAAGAAATAATACCTGTGTCCCTTTTGCTCCATCCTTCTCTGCCAGGGAGTTAGGCCTCAAGCTTTCCATCACTTTGACTGGATTCCAAGGTAAAGACTGTTACCAGAATCTAAGTGGCTTCCAAACTGAGGGTGCTCTAAATCGGTGCCACAGATGGAGTCCCAAGGCCTCTCCAAACCAGACAATGTGACAGAAAGTGTCCCTTGTCTAGTCACAGCAGAGGGGGACCACAAGAAGCTATGGCAGCCTTTTTCTCTTCTGCCTTAGGTGACGAGGACAGTGATAGGCACAGCTTAGCAAAGATGAGTGAGCAGCCTGGTGGAGTGGAGACACTGACCCGAGGGTCAGGGGACTGGGGTTCTTGCTCTGGTTTTGCCATAGACCTTTAGGTGACCTTGTGTAGGTCACGTTCCCTCTGTAGCCTCAGCATCCTTGACACTAAACATCAGAGGGTCTCTGTCTTCCACTTCCAGCATCCAGGGAGGCTTTGAGTTAGTGAGCCAAGCTTCCACACACACCCCTTCGTTATTCACAATAGCTCGGGAGGACTCGGAGGCAACACTGCCCCCTCCCCCCTCCCCGTTTTTGGGCAATGATTAGGGATGCTCCTGGGATAGAGACAAGCAGTCAAGGAGAGAAAACCAGCCCCACCCATGGTAACAGGGGATCCATGCCTAGAATTCTCTTGTCCCCTATATTAGTTCCAGACTGGATCTGAAATTCCCAAGGCACTGTGGGCGTTGGATTTGTTTATAAAAACAGTCTCACAGGACTTTGAAAGCTGATTGCAGATAACAGAAATCCATCTCTCTGATTCCTGTATAGACAGTTTTAAACCATTAAACCTTACCAAATGGAGAACTACATCCCAAGTCCTAGCTCAAAAATAGGAGGGTAACTTCGTATAAAATTCCAAGAAGATCAAAGCAATTATAAGTGGGAATATAGCCAGAGGAGACTTTGTGTAATTTCCTGGGGCGGAGTGTGAGAAGGAATGGAGATCTTCCTGTATAGCTGCTGACTGCAGGCACCTTCAGAAATGTGGATGATGGGCCCTGGGTTGTTTTTTTTAAATCCTCGCCTGAGGATATGTTTCTTGATTTTTAGAGAGGAAGGGAGACAGAAAGCAACATCAGCCCCGGCTGGTGTGGCTCCATGGATTGAGTGCCAGCCTACAAACCCAAAGGTCGCTGGTTTGATTCCCAGTCAACTCACGTGCCTGGGTTGCGGCCCAAGGCTGGGTCCAAGTCCTGGTAGGGGACAAGTGAGAGGCAACTGATCACAATCAGTTGCTTTCCATTTGCACCCCTTATGTGCCACAACTTAGGTGGGTGTGTGAGATGATGCTCCCCCAACTGAGCCGCCCTGCCAGGACGGCCCTGGGGGATTTTGTTTAAACTGCTGCACAGAGTCCCTCCTCACAAAGCAGGTTCTGCTGGAGAAGGAGGCTCTCTCCCCTGTTTGGTCTGGAAAGGCAGCCCTACCTCATTTTTCTAGGGTACTGGAAGGTGGGCAAGGGAGAGGTCTCCCTGTAGCACAGTGGGGTCTCAGGCTGTTTTGGGGCTGGTGCAGACATGGAGAAGGGTCCCCTGCATTTGGGTAAAGCTCACCGGGCCCTTCATTTGTGCGCAGCTTAGGTAGCTTTTTATTTAATTTTAATTTTTAAAATTTATTTATTGATTTTATAGAGAGAGGAAGGGAGAGAAGGAAAAATCCATTGACTTGTTGTTCTACTCATTTATGCATTAATTGCATGTTGTATGTGCCCTGACCAGAGATTGAACCCGCAACCTTGGCATATGGAAATGACACTCTAACCCACTGAGCTACTTGAACAGGACTGTGGTGGCTTTATTTTATTTTTTATGGTGGCTTTAATGTCCTTTTTTTTTTCCATTGGAGTGACAGCGGTTAACAAAATTGGATAGGTTTCAAGTGTACATTCTATGTATGATACATCGTCTGATTCTTGCCTTATTTGCCCACCACCCAAAGTCAAATCTTCTGCCACCATATACTTGACCCCCTTCAAAAAATATGGAATGTGTCATGAATTTGCATGTCATCCTTGCACAGGGACCATGATACTCTTCTCTGCGATGGTCCAGTTTAAGTCTACATGCTGCCAAAGTGGCAGCCAAATCTATTGTTTTCTCAGAATTTTCACCTTAATGAAGAGGAAAGCAGAGCAGGAGTTTGTACCCCAATTTACCCATGGGACTACTGAACCTTGAAAAATGTAATTGATGCAGGCCACACAGCTGGAAAGCAGCCAGGTGGATTTAGACCCCCAAATCAGTTTTGCTTCCCCTACACCACTCTGCCTCTCTGTCTTTCCTGAGGTGCTTCACAGCTTGGAAAGCAGTTTGCCCTTCACTCCTGGATATCAAAGGCCGAATGTATCAGATATCCCCAAGCCCCTCACCCAGAGCTGCAGGAAGGCCCAGGCAGCTCACCTGCACACAGGGCTGCTGCAGGGCCCTTACCCAGCCCTCCTCCCTCTCCCTGGCGCTCGCTCTGCTGGCCTTGCACAGCCCACATGCATGCAGGGCCAAGTTCTGCCCTTTGCACAAGCACACTTGCAGGGTCAGGCCCTCTCAAAGGACATTTTAACTTAGCTCATCCTCTGGTTTTAGCCACAGAAGGGATGAAAGCCTAGGAGAGGCCCTCACAGCCTTGGTCCTCCTTTACCCACTGAATCAGAGGGAGACCACCTGCCCCTCACACCTGCTTACACTGCAGGAAGTGGGTGTGGGGGGCTCTCAGCAGCCCAGTCCAGGGGAGCAAACATTGTTCTTACAGTGGGGAACCAGGGCTTGGAGAGTTTCAGAGTTGGAGACTAAGGCACTGGGCCCTCCTATCTAGTCCAGTGCTTTCTCCTCTGCACCAGACACCTCCACCAGCCTGGGCTCTTTCCTATGGGCGTGGCTCTCACTTCCGGCTCTTACTCCTGGGTTTTTTCCACTGTATCAGAGCCTATCCCGACAGCCCTTGCTGGGGCTGGCAGCTTGGCAGCGAGGTCTCATTCTGCAGGAAGCTATACCCCAGCCATTAAAGCAACAGGACTGTAGGTGGCCGCCACAGTGGAGCGCTGTTCTCCCAGAGCTCCCAGCCCTGTCCTCTCCAGCCCCCTTAGTAGCAGGCTCATGATGTCACAGACTGTCCCCACCCCAAGTTCAGAGTTCTCAAGCAACCTCCCTCTTTCTTAAGGGAGGCTGCCTGTCAACTACAGATGGGCACTGGCTGTGCCAGCATCTCCATGGTAACCAAGGGCCACAACTTCCTGCCTTGGACAGAGATCCAGAGCCAGTACCAGGATTGCCTTGCAGACTCCAGGAGGGCTGCAGGCCCATCACACTCCACTGTCAACCCCTGAAACTTGGGAATAGCCTAGGGAGGCAGCCCAGCTGGGTTGCCCTGGGAGACTTCAGACCCAGCAGGGTTCTTTGAGAAAGGTCCTGAAATGGGGCAGATTGGGAAGGCCCTCCTTTGGAGGCTGTCCCCTCCCTCGCACCTGGTATTGATTGTGGGGATAGGTTGTCTGGCTTCAGTGTTAAAATCTCTTCAGGGCAATAGGTGAAAGTTGAGAATCTCAGTGTGTTAGTTGGCTTCAGACTTTGCTCTCCCTTGTGGAAGGGATGTTGGTCGTGCAGAAGAGAGACTGTGATGATTATGCAATAGTCCCAGTTCCCTGCCATGCCCATCTCCCCATCCCATAAAATGGCTCCTGGGACAGGAGGAGCTGTCCCTCCTGGGACAGTTGAAGAGCTGGCCGACTCTCAACCAGGGGGTGGTATTGATCGATATGGAGTCAAAGACTCCAGAGCGACAGTGGACAGACCTGCTCCCTTGTGCGTTCTCCTAGGAGGGCAGGGGGCTGGCAGGGCACCCCAGGAGCAGAGATGGAGCTGACCTCACTGCCACAATCTCAAAGCTAGGAAGGTCCCTTCAGGGAAATTCCCTATCCAGTAGCAAAACGAATCAGAATGCAAAGTGGAGCTGCTCCTGGTTCCTCCCACCCCTTCTCAGCCTTCAGTGCACAACTGCTCTGCTCCTGACTACAGCACTTAGGCTTGGTGGCAAAGGACTGGAGTGAGCCGGAAGTTTGACTGTAAAAATACTGTTCTGGGTGAAGTGTCATAGCCTGCTGGCTACGCGTTTGTTTTTTTATACTGTCCAACTTCTTTCCCAATCTCCGTGGGGAGTTTGGTCTTTGCTCAAGTTTGTTCTTTGAGCTTTTGTGATACAGAATGAAGACTACCTGATGGGGGAAAAATAAGTGGAATGGTATGGGGGAGAAGGATTTTGGTTTACAGGCTGTTAATCTACACAATAAAGAGGAAAACATATCCAGGTAATTGCAGAGGTAGTAGGGGTGGGAGATATTTATTTATTTTTTAGAGAGAGGGAAAGGGAGGAAGAGAGGGAGAGAAACATTGATTTGTGAGAGATACATGTCTTGGTTGCCTCTCACATGCCCCCAACTGACGACCTGGCTTGTGAACCAGGCATGTGCCTAGGTCACAGGAATCAAACCAATGACTTTTTGCTTCACACAGGCTGGGGATCAATCCACCGAGCCACACCAGCCAGGATGGGGTTAGAGATTTTTCAAAGAGATGTCTCTGACTTCTGTGGGTGGATGAAGGTGGATTAAAGAGGAAAGGAGCTTTGGTAAATACGTTGTAGACATTGCTGTACTGACAACTCTCTTTGCCAAAAGGCAAGCTGAAGACTTGAGCTATTTTGAAATTATTAGTGATTGCTGAAGGGTGCTTCTTAGTCAGTACTGGAACCCCAAACTTTGTGGGTCTGGGCTTTGCAAGAATTGCAATAACAATCACTCCCATGTTTACTGAATATTTAATATGTAGCCAGCACTCCTGCATTATCTAATTTAATCCTCACAGCTACCCTGTGGAGTAGGGAACATCCTTATTCCCATTTGATAGGAACAGGAACTGAGTCTGAGGAAGGTAAAGGCACCTGTCCAGAGCCACACAGCCAGATGGGCTGTAGCCAGGCTTCACGAAACCCCAGAGGCATCTGGGTAGGCTCCCTGCTTGGAGACCAGGAGCAGCTACTGCACCTATAGATTCTCCAGGAAACTGCTAGACTTTGCTGAAGAGGGCTCTCTGCGGGAGCCACAGGCTCTCACTCACCTAATGAAGCAAAAAAATCAATGAGGTTTACACAAGGCATCTGCCTGGAGGCTGCTCCCTCACTGAGCTGAGCAGCAGGAATGTGCCTGGGGCCAAGTAACCATTTGGGGCAGCTCCTGCCAGCCTGTTTCTGTGACATTTTGTTAAGTCTTGGGGGTGGAGGCGTGGGGAACACAAAGCCCAGAGTGACCCATCCTCTAAGGAGACCCCATCTTTTCACCTTTCTGGTCAGGCCTTTCAGGATATAGATATCCCCCTTTCGCCCCCACCACTTGGAGGGATGCTCTCACGTCTCCAGGGGTCTCAGTGTGAACTTCAGGTTCGGGAGCCAGACAGACTTGATTTCCACCCCTGACTCTGCTCCTACTACCTGTATGTTTGTGGGCAAGTGACTTTCCAAGGCTTCTGCATCTGTGAAGTAGAAAAAATCATAGCACCCAAGAGGTTTAATGCCAACATGACTTGGCATAAGGGAATTGCTCAACAAACCACATTCCTATCTCAGGAAACAAGCTGAGGCAAGAGGGGAGTTATGGTTACTGTTCTGACAGTTTGTTTCATCTATTTCAGACTGTAATTGGTTCGTGGGATTCTTCTTGGCCTTGCACGTAGGCCTAGCCTGACCCCTTCCTTAGGTGAGGGCTGTTCTGGAACCTGCATATAATGCCTGCCTCATCCTTTTTTCTTCTTCTTTTTTTTAATAGAAATGCCTTATTACTTAGTACTACAGTCCATTATATACACAGCTGGGCTGGTCAGGGAGAGGCTACCAGTTTTCTAGTTTCCTCCAGTGTTTCTAGTCCATGATGTAAGGTACATGGATGTTTCTAGCCACCGTAAGCTGGCTGCCCTGCCTGGCCATTGCTGCACACTGGCTGGTCTCTGCCCCTTGCATGGATTCTTCTCCCTGCAGGTTGGAGCAGCAGCCATGAAATGTCTGGACAGCTGCAGCAAGGCACGTGTTCAGGGGACAGGCCTGATCGGTGTTTTTTACTTTCTACTTCAGTGCCCTCTCAATAAACGCAGTAGGTTACCAGGTGTTGAGAGAGGGTTTTGGTTTTTCATGCCTTATTGCTAGAGGGGGCGGGAGGACCTGATCTCTGGTTGCACCTCAACTGGTATAATCCCATCTGTTACACGTATTAGGGATTAATTCTGTGAGACTAAAAAACCAGAGTTCTGTGGTTACAAAGTTTGAATTCCAAAGTCTTCTCTGTGCCTTTAATACACAATCAAGGATATGGACTACAAACTAAGGCCCATCAGCCCGGAACCAGATTCTAGGCAATGCTCCAGGCTCTGGACAACTTGAGCTGAGAATACCCACGATTCCCCTGGCCTCAGGAGCTGGGAGAACAGCTGAGTCTTAAAGAAGCTAAACTGGGAAAGGGCAGAGGTAATGCACTGAGGAATCCCATGCAAGTCTTGACACTGGAGACAGCAAACCTAAGTTTAAAATGGGCAGGTTTCCATCTCAGGGCTGCTGCTGGCTCCAGGTGATATATGCACCAATAGGAAATCACTTTCTGGATTAAACCCTTAGGTACAGATATTGAGGCATTTTTGTGGCTTTCCAGACTGTTGTAGTTATAGGCTATTCTACTCATTTCGCGGTGTAAGTCTAAAGAATGGCACTACTGACTTTATGCTTCTTTCCAGGACACATGCCTTTTCCTAAGGCAGAACATGGTTTCATTATATTACATTTTGCAGCCTTCTGGGCTAATGGGACCTGCTAGGCAGACTAACCCCAAAATGTGCTTTGCCATAAAAGCATCGCAGAATAGAAACAGAACCAGGAGACCCACAGGGCAGTCAAAACAAACTAGACAATGGGAACATGGGCTGCGGAATAAAAGCTTCTGACCTCACAAGCATCTTATCCATCAGTGGAAACTGAAGCTTGTGTGAATTCAGATAAATTACTGTCGAAGCATTCATACACTGTAGCACCTACCTGATGCACCAGCTGCTGT